ATAGGGTGTTTCCCTGGCTGAGATTGAAAAAACATAAATTCTGACATTGTCTTCCTCTTTTTTCCTGGTCTTTTTCTGGTGGTTCTTGTATTTACTTCAGTTCTTATTGCAGGGGTTCCTCCATACCTTCCCTTTTTGCTAGTACCGAAGCTGCTGTTGTGGTGAAATAATTTCAAGCAAACATATGCACCTAGTAAAGACAAATGGTGTCAAGCTGCGAGGATCCTGTTACCCTTTTAGCTGCAGTTACTGCCTTGACTTTGTGGAAGATAGGTGCGGACTGGCTTCCCCTTCCAACCCCTTTAGAACCTTGCTGAGTTGACTTGAAAAGTAGCATAGCATAGGGGATAAAGGCTACAAGGCTTGAGAGAGAGGGGCAAATGGCTGCGGATGGAAGGAGTGCGAATTGGGATGAAAGAAGAACAGTGTGAGTGGAGAGACTGATGACAAAGTTAGGAACTTAGAAAGTGAGAAGGTGAGTCTGTAAAGGATTAGCAAGTAGGGCAGCAAGTGGGTGCCATGTTGGGTCATTCTCCTACAAGACTCCTCAAGGTTTATTATTGTGTGCTATTATTTTTAATGTTAATACAAAGCTGTCAGGCAAAGTTTTTTCGAGGTGAAAGGAGCTTTTGACAAGCATCTACTTTATCAGACCTAGATGTGATGCTGAATTTCTTAAAACAAGCTTTGGTGGAATATCTTGAATTCTTATTTTTCATCCTGCTGTTTTTTTCATGTTATTTTGTGTTTAGTTAGTGATGTTGCCAACTTTTGTAATTATCTGGTTCAAAGTATAAATCTGGCTAGCTTGCAATACTTGAAAGTATTACAGTTGGAGTGCCTTTGAGTTTTTTAGATGGGAATATAAAACAAGATTATACACATGCAGTTAGCATTCAAGTTTTGAAGGTTGGTGTACAAAAGTTCTCACAGGTCCTAGGCACTAATAGCAGCTCAGTTGTGCAAAGCCTCCTGAAGAAAGCACTATGTAAAGACGTAAATAAATAAGAAGGCTTTTAAAGGCTCTTGGAAACTGTTCAGTTCCTGAGGTATCCTACAGAGCACAGCTCTGGGAAGTTTCTCATCCTTGGGAGCAAAAGAGCAGTGTAATGCCTGAGCCTTACTGAACAAGCTTAGGTAAGAATCCCAGTTTGAATGAGCTGAGGTGTAGGTAGTGTATCTAATAGATATACTCTGAGTAAGGTCAGCACATGTGATTGGTAAGAGACCTCCCACCTGTGGCCTCTAGATTCTTTCTGCATTGTTTGCCCAGCCATCCAGCCCAAGAATCATAAGAAAACAAATCACAACACTTGCCTGGCTTTCATGGGCCCTTAGGGCAGTGGTATCCACTCCCTGACTTGTGAAGAGCCACATTACTACTGTGTGGCACCCCCACCAAACACACATAATAATGTAACTATTAATCTTGAATATATAACCATATAATGCTTAACTGCCAGAGTACTTCTGTGCATGTAGGCTTGTCTCCCTCTCCCATCACTGTTGAATCCTAGCCAGCTCTTGTGTATCTACAGTGAAGGGCTTCCTTCTCTGCCTCCCTTTTCTCTATTCAGCATGAAGTCAGGCAAGAGAATTAGACTGCCAAGGTGCCTGGAGGCGGTGGAGAAAGAAAGGGGAGTAAAACTACCCCAACCCCCCTGGGGCCAGCTTGCTTTTTCCCTGGGTGGCTGTCATTGTGGTGTTCCGGCTTTTTCTGTTTACAGCCAGCTTGCTCTCCTCCTGGCAGCTGCCGGAGTGCTGGGATGAGAGCATGAAGTGGGAGGAGTTGCTAAAGTGGACAGGCCCTTTACTTCAGTCCCTGGCACAAGGCTGGCAGCATAGGAGGCTCGGAGCTTATCCATCCTTCAGTACCTGTATGGTAGCTGCTAAAAGGCACAAACCATCCTCCCAATTACAAGCCCACCAGGCAAAGGCCTTCCCCATTTTCCTCCAGTAGGGGGTGGGTGTCACACTGGGCAACAGTGCTGGTGCATGAGAGCCATTGGGTATCACTGCCACAGAGTGACCAGGACCCATGAAATGTGTTTGTTAGTTCTCCTGCCCAGCTGCTCTGCCCTATTTCTGCTTCCAGGAATTATAAGTATATGTAGTCTGAGGAGGCTTCTACCTAAATTTCAGCTCATACAGGGGTCAGGGTGTTTCCTGGCATTAGACTAGGGGTGGCCAAACTTGTTTAATGTAAGCGCCACAGAGAATAAACGTCAGATGTTTGAGAGCCACAAGACACAAGCAAATATTACACACATTTTACTGAAAAATATGCAAATCTGCTTTTTATTAACATTTGATGAGACTGTCAAAAGTAAAAACAAAAGGGGTAAAAACAGATAATGATAATGATATTTATTTGTCCAGTGATACTTATTTGTTTGCTAATGTTATTTATTTATCTGAGAGAGAGAGAGATGGAAAGAAAGAATGAAGGAGTTGGGAAGAAAGAGAGAAAAAAAGCAAATAGATGGGGGACGGAGGGGGAAAGAGAAACAAAGAAAGCAAATAGATGGGGGAGGGGGAAGGAAGAGAGAGGAAGGAAGGGAGAAATGGAGAGAAGAGAAAGGTGGAAAAGCAAATAGATGGGGGAGGGAGGAAGAATGGGGGAAAGAGAAACAAAGAAAGCCAATAGATGGGGGAGGGAGGGAGAGAGAGAGAAAGAAAGAAAATAGATGGGGGATGGACAGAAGGAAGAGAGAGAGAAAGAGAAAGGTGGAAAGAATGAGAGGTAGAAAGAAGGAAGGAGAGAAATAGAAACCAAGAAGGCAAATAGATGAGGGAAGGGGAGGAAGGGAGACAGAGAGAGAAAGAAAGGTGAAATGAAAGAAAGAGGTGGAAAGAAAAATAGATGGGGGAGGGAGGAATGAGAGAGAGGTGGAAAGAAAACAAATAAATGGAAAGGGAGGGAGAGGTAGAAAGAAAGCAATTTTAACTTTAAATGTATTCTCCAACACCCCCGCCCATGCCAGCCAGTTTGGCTTGAAGAAGGGATTTAAAGAGACAAAAGCCATTTTCAAGCTGGCCGGTGAGTATTCTCCAAGGCCCCCCCCCCACTGCTTCACTAGCTTGGCTTGTAGAAGGGATTTAAAGAGACAAATCCCATTTCCAAACCAGCTGGCTGGTGTGGAAGTGTGGTGGGGCTTGGAGAATACATTTAATTTTAGATGGGGAGGGAGGGGAGAAAGAGACATAGAAAGTGGAAAGAAAGCAAATAATTGGGGGGGACGGGGAAAGAAGCAACTTTAACTTTAAATGTATTATCCAAGCCCCACCGCACTTCCATGCCGGCTGGTTTGTCTTGGAGAAGGGATTTAAAGAGACAAATGCTTTATCCAAGCCAGTGGTGGGGGGGAGGGTTTGAGAACGCATTTAAAGTTACTTTCTTTCTCTGCTCCCCTCCCCACACACACACCTCAAACCTACCCAGGGAGGGGAAGACCGATTGTCTAATGATTAGACAGACAAGACCAGGAATTGTAGAGCTCCCTTGCTTCCAAAGCTTGGGAGCCGTAGTTCCTTTAAGATCAGCTGGGGGTGGGGTGAGGGTTAACAGAGCTCAACATGCAGAGTTTGGTTAATAAAACTTTGAGAGCGTCGGGGCTCCCTGGTTGTATGTTCTCTTGGAAGAGAGTGTGTGGCAGTAGCTTATCAGGGCTGTTCACCATGACTGGTACTGGAAATGATTATTCCTTGCATACATGTTCCAGCATTATAAGCTTGGAAAAGCTAATTTGTTACCAAGGTTCTAAGATCTAAGGTTCTAAGATCTGATTCCAAATTGAGCTGAAGGGAATTTGCTGGGACGATTACTTTCTTTCTCTTTACCAAAAATAAAAGATAAAAATAGTAGGAGAACTGAGGACCTTTTAGCACCTTAACTGAAAAGGGGCAAACTGTTATCATTTTTATCCAGTAGATGACTTTCAGTCTGGTAATCATGTTCATCAATTTTTAAACTGTCGGATTCTCACAGAATGCTTTCCGTTTGTCTGTTTTGGTGATCCATTAATGAAAGTTATTTTCTTGTTTATAATTGTATGATGAAATATTGCTTTCATTTTGTTTTGTCCCTTTAAATTAATAAATAGTGTTCACTTAACTTTTTTTATTAACAGGAGCACGTAGCTTTTAAAAGTTGAACACAGTGGTTCAAGTAGATGGAAAAGTGATGAGGGGAAGATGACATATGCCTGTTAGAGCTCCAAATTTAGGGTTGAATCCAAAGTTATATCAATGTGGCACATTTGTACTCCCCCCCCCAGTGAATTTCCCCTCCTCCAGCAGCTTCCTGCACCCTCCAGAATGTCACTGTTCAGGGCCAAGGGAACTTCTAGAGGGGAGAAACGTCTTTTGAGTTGATCTCCCTTCCTATTCTGTGAATGTAATCTTCATGAGAGAGGGTAACTCTTGTGGAGTCCTTCCCACTCCACCTCTAGAAACATGGTATTCTGTTCTATAAGGTCTCTTGACACTCAGCAGTGACATTTTGTGGCCATGGGAAGCTTCTGGGAAATGGGAAGTGGCTGAGAAATCACTTCTGTGAGCTTGTTCATGTATCTTTGAAGTTAAAAGTTTCTAGAGGTCATGACTGAAAAATAATTGAGAATCTAGTTTGTTGTACATATGAAACCTTATGCTGGTGTCTACAAATCTGAAATGTTTAGTGGCAACAAAACCAGTTTGTTGCAAAAAAAGGAAATCTATATTTTATCTTCCCTCCCCACATTACCATGGGTGGTGTAAAGTAAATGCTTAATCTATTCTAAACAAATGTTTCCAATGTCCTCCTGATCAGACCCATACTTACATTACCCTTCTAAAAATATGCATCTTCATAATTCACCTGCCATTACAGCAATGTGAGAAGGAATTTTGTCTCTACTGATTGTATGTATCTAAACATTTGTAGTGAATGGTAGTTCTGGTTTGGAGGAAAAAGTCTGCTACATTGCTGTGTCTTTCTCTCCTAGACTGCTATTGGAGGTGTCCATCAGATGAACAAAGATCAGCAGAACTGATGCTGTAATTTTTTGTAAAGTTCTGATCATGGTAAGGTCTCACAGTTTTTCTTAACTCAGTTCATAGGAGTCAATCAGCAAGTAAGATCTAATCAGTTCCTATATTTTTATGAATCTGTCTCCTTTCCCCCAGTGCATCCTTGTGGTAATGTTTATCTGTCTTGTATCCCAGATTGTTCATGTGCAAACAATTTACTGGTGAAATTTCTGCTTCTGCTCCACTAAAACTGTTTGCCTCCAGTTTTAGGACATCTGTGATGCTGGTTATTAAGGAAATACGGTGATTAACATGCAGTCTGATAACACTCATTGAGTTTTGTATACCAATTGTTGTAGGTCACACTTAGGTAGGCTTTTTTGTTAGCTAAGATTGTATTAATGATGTATCCCTGTGCAGTTCCCCATTTTTAAATCTTTCATAGCCTGGCAGATTTCATTTTGCACAAGCAGGCATCATTGAGGTTTTGGCTAATGGATGAATACATAATATAGTCACAATCTAGTAGTTGTCATGGCTTCAGCTATGCACAAGTCCTTGCACATTCAGAAATCAAGACTAGAATGAGAAACGCTGCATGTCAAAATAACCTGTCCTTGATTGTGTAGAGGAACATAGCTCAGTGATAAAGTATATACTCTGCATACAGAAGAGTCTGGAAATAACTAGCATCTTTAGATTAAAGGAAAGCTCAAGACTAGGAAAAACTTCTGCCATTCAGAATAGGCATTACTTCAATAGATGACAACAGTCTGTCAGTACAGAGTTGGAGGGCTGTTGACATGCAGAAAGTCCCAAATTCAATCCCCAGGATCTCCAGGTAAAACAGTCAAGTAGTAGGTGATGTGAAAGACCTCCCTCTGAGACCCTGGAAAACTGCTGCCAGTCTGAGTAGACAGTACTGACTTTGATGGACCAACAGTCTGATTCAGTGTAAGACAGCTTTGTGTGTGCATGTATGTTTGTGTTCATAAAGGAGAATATGATCCTGTAGACACTTAAGAATAACAGCTATATAACGTGGGACTTACTTATAAATAGGCATAAGATAGGCATAACAGCATATAGCACATTACAACTTATTTCTACTTATTTTAGATTTGTAGCATGTTCTTTTTTGAAAGATTATGGCATTATACTGATATAAGAAGACCAAAAACTCATTATAGGAGTGGTGGAACATGTATTCATAATAGCAATGCTAATCTCTTTCAGTCAGCTAGCTAAACCATAGGTAAAACTAGATATGGTACTTTGTCCCTTTCTGAACATCAATATAAAATGTTACTCCTCGGTTTTAAGTAATTTTAGATACTTTTTTATTATTGCTCAGTTGCAATTCAGATAGAAAACGTACATGTATGTATCAACATTTTGTTACATTGATTTAGTCATGTGCTTGCATATGGAACTGAGTTGCTTAGTCTTGTCCACATATTAGACTGCAGTATTTTCCAGCGGTGACCAGATTGTGATGTAATAGCAAATAGTTGTCTCAAGAGATTTAAACTGAATTTTAAAATACTGGCCATTTCTGGGTCTCAGTCTCTGGCAAAGGAAGAGGGAGTATGGCTTCTTTCTCCAGCCTCTTTTTGTGTATCTTCACTAATTCTATAAGTAGAAATTCTTTAGATATTGTGTAGGTAGCTGTCACTCCTTGACTGAACCACTTCCTACCAAATAGCTGCCTCGAATTATCTTACTGTTTTGGTAACAGTTTAAATGCTCATAAGCAAGATGAATACAGATCTATGGAGGCCTCTCTTCCTCCAAGAGTAGCTGTAGGAGTCTTTTAAATGAGTTCCTTAAGCTGCTGTCATGTTAGTTTGAAGGTAGGATGGTACTACAAATGACATTAGCACTAAGAATGCAAACAAAGAGTAGGTAATAAGTGAAAATGATATTCTGGTGACTCTTATTTAGTGAGGAAATTGGCCTTTGACATCAGAAGTCAAATCATCCTGATAGGGTGTGAAATCGAGCTCCTAATCATAAGAACATAAGAGACACCAAAGGCCCATCCAGTCCAACACTCTGTCACACAGTGGCCAAAAATACCGGGTGCCATCAAAAATACCGGGTGCCATTAAATATTTATACCCCACTTTACTTCTCAGTAAGGACCTTACATTGTTCTCTTCCTTTATTTTATCCTCACAAGTGAGCGGCCCACAGTTGCTCTGCAACCTTCCATGACAGAGTGGGGATTTGAACCAGAGTCTCTCAGGTCCTATCTATATTACTGCGATTCGTCAGACACTCCATTGGCTGCCTGTCATTACTGGGCTTAGTTTAAGGTACTGGCTATTGTATACAAATCCCTTCATGGCCTTGGCCCCTCTTATTTGCTGTACTGCCTCCCCCCATGCTGCACTACAACAACTGCACTCATGTCAGCAGGGGACGTCTGAGGGTGCAAACCTGCAAGTGGGCAAACTCTAACAACTGTCTTTACATGTTTTCTGCCCCTTGTGGCTCCCACCTTATGCAGTGGCCTGGCCAAAGAGGTCAGGAAAGTTCACACTCTCCTGGCTTTCTGAAAACTAGTTTAGTTTTATTATTATTATGGTCTTAAGACCAGCATACAATACAAACATAGTTCTGAAAACTATGCAAAACTGAATTATTCAAGAGGACTTTTCTGCACAGGTAATAGGGTTGCACTGTACAAAATGGTTTCACAAACTTCCTTGGATTAGGGGCTGTGGATTAGGGACTGTGGTCTATACTGCTGTGTATAGCTTATTGTATGTGGGATCCTATTTATGTAGTTTTTGTACCACTTAATGTGTCATGTCTTTAAGTATTTGAACAGCTGTCACTTAGAGGAAGACAGGGAACTGTTCCTGTTGGCAGCAGAGGATAGGACTCGCAATCATGGGTTTACACTAAGGGTGGGAAGGCACCGGCTGGATATTAGGAAAAATGTTTTGACAGTAAGAGTTTTTCAATAGTGGAATCAGCTACCTAGGGAGGTGGTGAGCTCCCCTTCACTGGCCGTCTTTAAGCAGCAGCTGGACAAACACTTGTCAGGGATGCTCTAGGCTGATCCTCCACTGAACAGGGGGTTGGACTAGATGGCCTATATGACCCCTTCCAACTCTGTGATTCTGTGTTACTACTTATGCTATGCTTCAGTTCTTTATGGTGGTTCTTGATTTCTAAATTCCTAATGCATTGGTTATTGAATGTCCCGTTTTGTTGATTGTACTGACTCACTTTCTGTAATCGCTTTGAATCCCTGTTAGAGAGGCCAACTATAAATAACACAAATAAATAAATGACCCTATGAAGAAATGCATTTTTTCTTTGGATGTTGAAATGAGCAAAACCTTCACTTTGTATTTTTTAAAGTTTTTTCCCCCCCTCTGGGCAAAGAAGCAGGGAGGAGGAAGTCAGTCATTGGCTTTCCGGGCTCACCTCAGCTATCTCTTGTTCTTGTTCAGTTTCACAGTCGAGTCTGGCTCTTTGCGACCCCATGAACCACATCACACCAGGCCCTCCTGTCTTCCACTATCCTCTGGACTTTGCTTAATTTCATGTTTGTTGCATCGATTACACTGTCTAATCATCTCATCCTTTGCCGTTCCCTTCATCTTTTCATTCAGTCTTTCCCAGCATCAGGGTCTTCTCCAGTGAGTGCTCCCTTCTCATTTGGTGGCCAAAGTATTTGAGCTTCAGCTTCAATCTAGTCCTTAAACCTATTCTTCACCTCCACTGTATATTCATAAGGGATGTGATCTAGGTCAAACCTGAGTGGCCTAGTGGTTTTCCCAACTTTCTTCAGTTTAAGCCTGAATTTTGCAATGAGTGGCTCATGATCTGAGCCATAGTCAGCTCCAGGTCTTGTTTTTACTGACTGAATAGAGCTTCTCCATCTTTGACTGCAAATGACATAATCAATCTGATTTCAGTGTTGCCCATCTGGTGATGCCCATGTGTAGAGTCACCTCTTAGGTTGTTGGAAGAGGGTGTTCACTATGACCAGTATATTCTTTGTTAGTCTTTTCCTGGCTTCATTTTGTTCTCCAAGGCCAAACTTCAGTCTTGCCATCTCATTTTTGACCACGTCGAGCTTACCTTGATTCATAGATCTTACATTCCAGGTTCCTGTGCATTATTGTTCTTTGCAGCGTCAGACTTTCCTTTCACCATCAGACATATCCACAGCTGAGCATCCTTTTGGCTTTGGCCCAGCCACTTCGTTCTTTCTGGGGTTAACTGTACTTGCCCTCTGCTCTTCCCCAATAGCATATTGGACACCTTCCGGCCTGAGGAGCTCATCTTCCGGCGTCATATCTTTTAGCCTTTTGTTACTGCCCATGGGATTTTCTTGGCAAAGATACAGGAGTGGGTTGCCATTTCCTTCTCCAGTGGATCATGTTTTGTCTTGAGTTCTCCACTGTGGCCTATCTATCATGGGTGGCCCTCCACAGCATAGCCCACAGCCTCATTGAACCACGCAAGCCCCCTTGCCACATCAAGGCAGTGATCCTCTTAAGAAATGCTAATATGTCTAGCTAGAGACAATAGGAGGGTTCAGTCTCCTCCCCTCCACAAGCAGGGAACAGAGATTTGGAGGTGTTAAATACCAGAGAGACTTCAGGAAGGAACTCCTGAAGATCTTCAGGAAAAGCTTCATTGGCCTGGCCTGGTAAGGGGATGGGGAATAGACAGGTGAGAAAACTCGGGGGAGCAAGGAGGAAGCGCTCTTTTATGCTGAGTCCATCAGAGCAGTCATATGCCTTAACTGAGGTCTGGAAAAGGCAGCCATTGCCATATGCTGGCTTAGACAGCCAGAGGAAGCTGCAAGGTAGTGGGGACTTTGTAGAGAACCTTCTAAGTTAAGGAGCCGATCCTATATTTTAACATCTGATAGGGTGCATGTATAGAGAGAGGGACAGAGGAATTGCATTTTACCCATTTCTTTTGAACCCCTGCTCAGTCTGGTGTGGTGCTAAAAGTATGCTTGTGAACATTTTCTTTTTAATAAATACTTTATAGCTGGTACTGGTTCTCTGTACCACCTGGAC